GATTAATTAGAACCACGCGCCTAAACACGATACAAGGAAATAAACTAAACGCGCAGGATGAAATAGAAACGCAAACTGAAAAGTGGGAGGCCAAGGGTTGTCGCAGAAATCTAAAGCCATTCTCGCGGCCGTTTATGTTCTTTTCTCGGCGAAGCACGCCCTTCAGAAGCCGCGACTTGACGTAGGATGAAATGTGCAATGTTCGATACGACTGTTTCAACGATCATTGTAAAGTGTCTGGGGATGTACCGAGATGTAGGACGCGGTCGTGTCGGATAGCAACACGGAGCTGCAATAAAACACGGCGTACTGTAGATTTCATGAACGACAGCTTCGAACGTGCGTTTCGGTTTAGCGAAAACTTGGAAGGATTCTCGAGATCTCTCGCTGACGAATATTTTTCAAACTTCTCTTAACTCTCTATTTTTAAATTTACGTTATTTTTCAGCAGGCTACTTGCTGAGGCATTCACTGTGACAATTCAGACAGGGTCGAATAATCCCATAGAGGGTTGCGTAAGACTCGTGGAATTTTTCATTTTATCTTTCACATTTTAATTTTTCTCTTTACCTTTTCATTAATATATGCTTAAATTTTTGTAGAGTACGTGTAATGGAAATATGAAAAGCTCAACTTCGGATGAGAATCAGAATCTGTTCCGAACGAACAGGCTGCAGAATTCACGCATTTACGATACGAACCAACGTAATAAACGGATGCTAAGCATAATTAAAGTGTACACAGAATGAAGTAACGATATTATTATATTGACTGCGGAATATATTCAACGTACATTACGTACGCGTCTTTTACGTACACATTCTGTAATATTGTACGTTATAAACGCAGAAAATCCGCAGTCCACTAATAACCGATCCGTACATCGTTTTCTCTGTTTACTATTTTCCTGCTTCGTCCGAGCGTTCTTCCGAGAATGACACCGTTGCCAAAATTGCCGCCATCTTTTCGAACATTACCGTTGCACACAGGGGCCATTACTTCTTCTTACGATCGAGCCGAGATTTGCCGAACGATAGACTCGCTGCGTCTACCAGGGAACGTATCGATAGAATTTTGAAGACGTTTCGAAAATTCGGTAGAATAAACCTGTTTTAACGGGCCGAGCAAACGAACTGATAGCGAGCAGGATAGATCCAATCTCTTGCGTCGTTTATGCTTGAATAAGTTCCCTTGCACCGAACCCTTCTAACCGAATATTTTCTTTCCAACTCGAACCCTCCCTGCACCAGCATGGACTTTGTATCAACGAAACCTGATTCACGGAAACACCGCGTTTAAACGGAATCGAAGAGGGAAGGAGTAAGAAGAGTCTTTGGTTTTACGAAAGGTTCGGACTAGGATGGAAGGGATCCTCTAAAAATTAACCCTTTGCACTCGAGAGATCACCACTAGGCTTTCTTTAAGTTTAATCTCTTTGGAACTCGAAGTGTCGATAAAATGATTGTCGTTGAGGCAAAGGTGAACTGATTCGCGAATCTCAAATTAAGGATCTCATTTTCGAGGTCAATATAATCATTCCTGGCAATAGGATGCTAAGAAAGCATCTCGCGTTGCTGATAGATGCCAGAAAACAAAGCGTCGAGTGCAAAGGGTTGACGAAACCCGTAAGTAGAATTGGCGAAAAATGGTCAGACACGAACGAGTTGAATTGCGCCCCAGAAAATATTAACCGAATCCACCAAAATCCGTAATATGTTACAGGACTTTTTATTATTATTTAAAGCTTTGCTTCGATTGCTCCATAGATACAAGATGAGACCAACGAAACTTCCAAACTGCCTGATTCGACTATTTTAGGAGAACTGATGGTGGTTCACTGGCAGAATCTCTCTTTCCTTCCTAATCTTTTTGCATCTCTTTTTCCCTTAAGACTCTCGAGATCTTAAAACTCGCTATTTTAATCTTAAATGCTAGTAAGCTACGTAACATGGAAAAAATATTAATACATCGCGATGCGAATCAATTTAAAAAATTGAGAATTTCGTGGTAATTTACACGTAAAATGAAATTAATTAAAATTCGTAAATTATTAAACCAGAATAATGGAACATATTGTATGAAATTTACACGTACGTTATATCGTACATGCCGCTATACATCGAAATGTATTTTATCGTTCTATTCCGATAATTTATTAATTGTAATTAATTTCACTCCTCGTATAAATTTCATCGGTATCCGCGATGATTAAAAATTCAATGATGAAGTACTTTAATAACCAATGAATTATCATTAATCTCACTTTGCATATTAATCTCAAGTGTCGCGTGACGAAAATCACTCGTACCCATCAAGAACCGAATGGCGCCGAGTGGCTCGTGCATCATATCCGAATTTTTGGATTTTCTGATAATCGAATTCTTCGAATACGAAGCAAAACAAAGACCATCGAGCGTACGTTTTAAAACTTCGTTAAAAAAAAAAAGAAAAAAGAAATTTACGTTAATTTACAAGTATATAACACTTCATTCGTAGGATTTCCTTTAGATTTTATAATTATTGGAACTCTTCTAACCATTAAATTAACTAAATTACTAGTTATTCGAAACGGGATCTTTTTCCATTCCTCTATTAGAGCCATTTTGAAAAGTACTTTACTGGAAATTTGATGTTTTCTAATTCGTACGGAGCAATGAAATAACTTGTTTTTACGTTACAAACTGTACTGTAAATGGTTCGTCGTAAGAATCGTCCGAATACTTATTGCTTCTATACTTTCACCCGCTTTTCACATTTTTTTGTTAATTTCATAAATTATATCAACTAGTAAATGTTGCTTGGACTATATCTATCTTAAAGACTTCTGAGAATATGTGAAACATCATTGACTATAAAAAACGAAGTTAAGAAACTACAATTTCACAGAAAAGTTTTTTGAGAAATTGATCGGTGTACGAATACGTTCTACACCCACTCGAGGGATATGAAATTTTTGAATGGAAAATCCAGGGTGGTCAACTTTTGACCAAAAACGTTCCCTTTGTTGGTAACAATAGGGGAAACGCGATGAAACGAAAGAAAGAATCTTCTCGTCCGGGTCTCGTCGAGACGGATGTAAACAAACAGCAGACACCGATTCATCCCCGAAGTTTTCTTCGTGATACGTCTCAACCGAAGCCACGTAACGTTCGCGACCAACATTCCCTCCTATTATTCTCGATTCCGAATAGAACCGCGCAGAATTTTATTCGAACGATGAACGCCAAACGGAAACAACGCCGCAGCAATTAATTTGCCCACGTTCCCTCGATCGAACAGTTATTTAGAATAATCATTCATCCATTCAACGTAAAATTTCATTTCGTTTCGTCATTCACCAATTTCCGCCAAACGAATAACTCGTCGAGTGCTGGCTATCTTTCATTCGATATTCGGAATTCGTGCCCGGGTGGGGGGGGGGGGGGAGGGACAAGTTGCTTAAATTGAATTCGCTTTGGACGCTTATCTTTAATTGTGACATTTCTACCGAATTCGAAAACATTTTTACCGATTATCATTACGAGTACATTCGCTGTTCGTTCTCCGGATCGTACCACACGCGAGGCGATAAAAACAGAAATACCTTTCGTTTTCTTTTTAAAGAAATTGGAGACCGCTACCTAGGATAAGTTGGCAAAATGGAAGGAGCTCGAAAGGAGATTTCTCGAATCGCGATCATTCCAACGAACCAAAAACCTTTCTATCAATTATCGTTCCATGTGTATCGGACTCTGGTACACCGACGCGAGCCACCCTAAAAGAATTTCGTCCATCAACGACACCGTAGTTCCTCGTTTCTCATCGGCCGTCCTGCGCGGACTCTCACCCTTTCGGCGAGAGCAATCGCGATATCGCTGAGAGGAAACCGACGATCGCGGCGGATAATCGCGGTGGCGGACGCGCAAAACAGGATCTCTGTATATCGAGGCTGGAAGGATCTTCGGCTAGCGAATACTTGTTTCTTTTTTTTTTTTCTTTCTTTTTTTCTTTTTTTTTCTCTGTCCCTCGGTTCGCAGTTGCGCAATCTTCCCCGGGGGTGCTTTGAACGCTCGCGATCCGGTTGTTACACCGTTCCACACGGCCCCCTCCCTGCCCCGCGACCGCCTCAACACACACGGAACAGATACATCCCCTCGACCTCGAGGGTAGTCGGCCGATCGCGTCAGAAATTCCTTTTTCCGAACCGACCGCCTCCCACTCCTCGCTGCGAGTGTGTTTACTCGCGTGTACCGAGTTCGGACGGCGTCGCACGTTCTCCGACAAACAGATCGATCTTCTCGCCCGGCACAGAGCCGATTTCGTCCAGGAACCGATCCCCAGGTGGCCCCGGTCCGGGCGAGTCGAAGGTTAAACCGGCTACCACCTGGGAAACGCTCCACCGCCGACGACCGGGGACAACTGGCGTCTTCCTATCTAGAGGTAGATACTCGTAGTCCGACAAGGTTAATCAGGGTGATCGCCCTGATTGTATTAATAAGGAAAGAACATCGTCACTGGAGCGAATCGAACTTGAGCTAGGTGAATTTTTCCTGGGTGATCTACCCTTCTGAGTTTACGATAATCACTGATAATCGAAAGTAAAATTTAGATTCCGTGGCGTATTAATATAATACGTGAAACGAATCAAAGAAATCGCTTGAATTTCCTTGGTCCACCTATCCGTGTCCAACGAGTGTTTTGTTCGCAAGAGCTCCGTACTGGACGCAGCGTCGTCTAAGGGTTCCTCCACACGAACACGCGGGAGCTCGCGAAACTACCTACCCGATTCATGCGGCGGATCTCTTATTCTCCGTAAAACTCTCGCCTCTACAAGCGTCGATCCTTCGACTGTTACGACCCTTCGACCTTCTCTGAGCTACGCTAAGGCACACGTTGTCCTGTAATTCCTAATCGTGTACCAAACGCTTTCGCGCGTTCGTCTTCGGTTCTCAGTCGTCGCTGATCGTCGAACGACGCTGTCGGGAGAACTTCACCGGTGTAAAAAGATTCGAGGTACTTACATGTCCAAGGATCGGCCACGTTGAACGACCGGCCTAGGTACTCAGGACTCGTCGCCCCTGCGAGGACAGCCTTGGTGAGCCGCTGCGAGGCGCGTGTGTGTCCTTAGACCCGGCGTGACTGCGGCTCCGTGATCTCGGGAGTCACAGAGGCCTCCTCTGACGGGCGTCGCTCCTTCCGATCGTCATCTTGCCGTCACTGGTCGCGTATCACAAGCACAACTTTTACGAATATTCGATACGGTCCTTCCTCGCCGTGATTCCACGCAGAGTACGTATCTGCCGTGCGAGTCCGGGGTTCGTATCGCGACGAGCCGCCTCTCTTTCTCTCTCCCTCCGTTACTCCTTGTCACTGGGGATGATCAACCCCTTGTGTCTGTCTCCGGTCTGTCGAGGGCGAGACGAGAGAAAACAGACGGAAGGGCGGCGTGAACGCGACGAAAGCCAGCGCGACGCGGTTCCGGGGGCGCTCCAGGAAGGATGGACGACACACCGAGCGAGTTAGCGGGGATGGTCCGCGGACGATCGAGCCAACAGTCTGATTGAAACACGCAGCCACTCGACGCGACGAGAACGGAACCGCTGGACGAACCGACCGAGCGAACGTACGGACGAACGAGGCGGCTGAAAGCACAGGGGAAGGAGTAGGAGTGCGAAGAACGACGTAGAAGAGGGGTGTACGAGGCGACGGTGGGTGGGGGAAGCGATTCGAGGGTGTAGGGTTGAGCGAGGGTGGCTCGCAGGCCCGGTGGTTGTGCTTGGTCGTGCTTGCTTCGCTTGCCTGTCTGGCTGTCCGTGCCTGTTCGCTCGCCTGCTTGCCTGCTGCTCTACCTGGCTGCTTGCTATACCAGCTAGCTCGCTTTTACTCGCCTCCGCCTCTGCCTCTGCCTCTGCCTCTGCCTCTGCTTCTACCTCTGCCTCTGCCTCTGCCTCTGCCTCTACCTCTGCCTCTGCCTGTGCCTCGACCCTCTGTCTCCGCTTCTGCCTCTGTCTCTTTGGCTGCGCAGGACCCGCCGCGACCCGGCCAAACCCAGACCCAGCGTGTAGGTACCGCGGGCTCGCGTTCGAGGTAGCTCCAGCCACCCCAGCTGCTTCATCCCCTCCAACGACGAACCCCTTCGGGACAGTGCCGTGCCGAGACGCCTCAGCGCCCGCTTGCCAAAACGATGCCACCTATGCCGAACAAATCGGACAGATTTATCAGAAACAATCCCTTCGTGCGAACTTTTTCGGATGACTCGTTTTCTTATTATCGGGAACGCAATCGTATTTTTCAAGAATTTTGTATCTTTTACCGGATAATTTTGTATTTTCGTGGTAACAGTATGGGACCTGTTCAGGGGAGCTTAGAATGAATATTTACGAATCGTATCGCGTACCTGATCGTACAACTACTCTAGTAGGACGAGCAGATGTCAGGCTTGTTGTTAAAAACATCCGGAGTCGTTTCTTTAAAATCATTCTGGAACGTTGCGACTGAAACATAAGATATTTGATTGGGTTAAATTGTAGAACGTTACTTCGATGAAAAATCGAAGTAATGCATCTTGGAACGTGTAAACAAAGTTTGACCGTTTAAAACGTTCTACCACCCACCTTCTACCCGCCTCACGTTCGACGAAATCGAAGATGAAATTATAACGTGTACAGAAAATCCGGATTGCGATCGTTGAGAGTTCGAAATATGAACGACGTTCCTCAATTTGCAGGATTTCAGTCGTAATCGTCGGAGATTAACGCAATGGGTAGTCCAGTAATTATTGTCACCGAAATTATTTCCAAAACTAGAGCAATTAGAGGACTTCTCTGGAATAAAAGTTGCGCGATTAAACAGAGGCGACGGGAACGATGCGGTGATGTAGTCGATTCCGCGACACGAACATGATCTCTGTTGCGTTCCGAATGAAATACTATTAGGTCTACCGCAAACTGCTGTTCACGCGGCAAGGCGTGTATCGTTCTTTTTTTCTTTTCACAGAAACTACAGAGAGTTCAACTTTGAATATACAAATATGGACACTCCGAGATAGATTTGAGGAAATTTGTGTTGGAAAGTATCGGAAAATAGCGCCCGCATCGAGCACGCTTACCGTATCTCCTCCAAGTGTGTTTGCGTAGCTGATCCGCTGTGCAACCTGGGACTGGCTGGTCTGAAACCCAAAAAATAAAAATACGTCTATTACGTAAAGGGTGTCGCCACAATGTACCGTCGCCGTCTTCGAAAGTTTTCGAGTTTCTCGTTAAAAATGGAAGACCAAAGGTTTCGCGGGCAACGAGTAAATCGAGTTACGTCGAGAAAATCTCGAACGCCATTTTTTAAACGCGAAGTCTTTCGTTCGCGAGCGTTCGAATGATCTCGTGATTCGCTTGTGCGAACAAAAAAAAAAAAAACAAAATGTAAAGAAAAATAAAAAGCGAAGAGGTATCAGGACGTTGGAAATCCCCGAGACGCCCAAACGACTGAAAAATAAACGTTGCCGCGAAACTTTCACGTTGTCGTTTAATCGTCGCGACGTTTCTGAATTTCGAGAATTCAAGCCAGAACGAACTCGGTGCTCCGAGACTCTCGAGAAACTCGTGACGAAGATGCAGGAAACGATTAACGACGACGAAACTGCGATAGGTTCGCATCCCTCTCCCCCATCCCTCCCCCCGTCGCTATGGATGGTGGAATATTAGTAAAATTTTATTTCTAGCACGCGAAAACCAGCTATTACCCACTCGTGGAAGAAAAACGCGGGACCGCTCGGCTCGAGAAGAAGAAAAGCAACCCGAAGACACTGCTCGCCCTACTTTCTCGCCTCTTATCCCCCTGGTTGCTTCTTGTTTCCCGCCAGCTTCGCAAATGGCTCTCCTCGAATGGCCTGCAATCAAATATACCATACATAAATGGACCGTCCATCCTTGCTCGGGACGTTTTAGGTAGAAACGGGATCAAGTTCAATTTATACTCACGGATCCTGGTCGGTTTCCACGCCGGGCTCTCCGTTTTCTGGGCCTCGAACGCCTACAAAACGTGGAATTATAATGCAAACATCGAAACCGATGTAAAGGTAAAATTGTAAAGTGTATTCCCTCTTACCTCCGATAAGGAATCGTGTATAATGGCTCGTCCCATCGACGTTCCGAGGTGGTACAACAGCCCTGTTGGAGAAACGCGAAAAATACAATTCCACGTCGTTGCACGGATGTTGAACCTGGAACAAATACGGAGACAAGAAACGGTGATAATTCCTGACGAATAGCTTAAACAGTCGCGGTTTATTCTTGCGTTAATAGAGAAGGATACCCTGTACGAAATCACCGGACGCTCGTTCGCGATAATTTAGGAGCGGCCTGTTATTTTGTCGCGGAAACGTCGTCGGATTAATCGTCTAGTTGCTTCTTAGGCACACCTCGTGCTCGATCCAATCGCCGGTTGCCTCGTCGCGCGGGAAACGACGCGCTGCGGCGCCGGGCACAAGGAAATAATTAAAAGAGACTCGACTATCGAATATCTGTCGGGCGAGTTACGTATTGCTCGCCGCGCATAAATTCTCTGCCAGGAGGAGGCAGCTTTCTTTCGTCTCTCCCCGCTCGTACCCCCTGGCCCTCTGGTTGCCTTGAAGGCCCCCCTACCTTCTGGTCCCTCGGTTCGTTAATTAATTAAGGAGAATAATCGTCCGCGTTTAGTCGAGAGGATAACAATTACCGATATCAAAACGACATTTTGATAAAGCCACGCGAAACGATTCGAGCGGGAGATATCGATTGCGAAGCCGCGACGGCTCGCCTCTTGAATAAGTCAGACAACAAGCCGCAAAGCTGGGCTCGCTGCCTCTGGATGCTAAGTAATTGGCGCACTTTGAGAAAAACGTTGCTTATGGAAATAAAGCTGTCGATCGAGCGGACGGACGGGTCTTGGTACGCGAAAGAGACCAGACTCGAGGATCGTACCGTTGACGAGCAAGAAGAGTGGCTCACGGGGTGGTAGGTCTTGGGTCGAATGGGTCCATGTTACAAGAGACGCTCGAGAAACACTATGGACAAAATTAAACGGAAACTAACGAACTATTCTCGACCGTCTTCGAAAAGGAGCAGGTTGCTCGTTTCGACATGCATATTTTTGTTAACAATATAGAAGTGAAAGAAATTAGCACGAGATTAAAACTATGTTTAATCTCTCGCGTAGTGTGCCATACAGTTTACTGCAAGCCCATAAACCATATTCACGCACCTCCGCGTGCCATCATTAATTCAATTGGCTGTTATATATATTTGCAAATACCTGACGCTAATGTTAAAATAGTTCCGTTTCCATATTAGCCGCATTAACCTCCGCGCCGCTAGGAACGCGGAAACCGGGTTTTGATGTTTTGTCGATTTCCACAGGGCACGCTGATAATTCCGTGTCGCGTTTGCTCCGTCGACCTGATATCCTCGGCCAATTCCGAACAGGGAATCGAGTTTCTCGCGTAGACCGTCGCTACGTTCGAGAATAAATAAAATAATTAAAATGCACGTATCGCGGTGACTCGGGCTGGCTCGAGGATCTGTCGATACCGAGGTATTAAATAAAGAAAATAGGACGTAAAGCCGAAAATGGCCCGTTCGATACTCGACAAGTTGTTATTTACCATCGCGGGAAAAGAAAACGTAACGGGAAATCGGCAATTTATTAAATTGGAGCAAGAGTACGGTAGCAGGTATTATACGATGTTATATTTGTGAGAATCGAATCGATTCAATTCCTCGGAAACGACGTTCGATACTGCAATAGTCACGCGATAAATGTGAAATTATTAAAAAGATGAAGAAATGCCTCCGGAGTGTTGCTTCGAAATTAACTACGCAACCGTTTCGGAGAACCTAAAACATACAATGTATACGTTGAGAAAAGTAGATACAGTGAAAGAAGTAACTCGTAGAAAACTATACGTACAGGGTGACCCATTTCTTTCCGGCTAAATTTTGCCAGCGTGTTCTACATACAAAAGTAAGGGGAAAAAATGTTATATGAACGTGCGCTCTTAAATGTTCTATTAAGGAGTTATAACTAATAATACGAAATGATAATGAACTGACATTTCGTCGACACAGCGTACGAACGTCTTATGAATATTCCTATTTGTATTTACATAAACTCTTACGTTTACTTTCCGAAGTACAGTTAGTACAGAGGACTACAGACGCATGTGCGGCGATTGGAGAAGATGAAGAAGAAATTAGTAATTAGGGTCAATTTTTGTTGGATGCCAATCCTGTATTCGTAACGACAGACGTCATTTCGAAATGTTAACTCGTCAATAAAAGACGTCGATGTCAACTACACCAGCGAGTAAATATAAGTTTACGTACACACAAATAACGATATTCATAATACGTACGGTAATTTCATTATCGTTTTGTATCATTAGTCGTAACTCCTTAATAAAATATTTAAGAGCACGTGAGCACATTTTTTTTTTTCTTACTTTTGCGTGTATATCAAGTTCGATAGATTGAATTTTTGTCGTTAATATTATTACAATCGACGTTATATTCCGTGTTGGTACTTTAAATACTAAATTCCTAAAATTTAGACACAGTATATCAGATCTGAGAGTATATCGGCGATAGAAAGTGGTCCTAGGTCCTCGAGTGCCGTCTTACGGCACTAACCACAATCCCCTTCCAAAACACCCCCGATTCCATCCCCGTCCGTCGTCATCCCTTCCTCAGGTCAAGCTCCGCGATCAGAATCGAGCCGCACCACCGTATACCTATTCCAGCGTGCCGTGCTCACTCGACGAGTCTACTTGAAACCGCCAGCAGAAGACGCTCGTCGTCTTCCTTGGCACGACTAATCCACGTCCCTGTCGTACTCGCCACAGAACCGAGCAAAACTTCGCTCGAACAATAGGCGATCTGAAACGACTTATTGTTTTATTGCTCTCTTTTTACTCGCCAGACTTCGAAGAGATTTGGTATGTATTTATTTAACGGGGTGATTAAAAAACAAGCAAATTTTTGTTTCTCCCAAACAGGGTCAAAAGTTTCATTCAGGTACAAGAATACGCTAAATAATATTATTTTTTGCAACATTGAACAAATTGTACACTGCACACAACTTTCCAGTA